CAACAGCTCCCACCACCTGGACGCCGTTCCTTCTTCCACCTCCATCAACAGGAACCGAATCGGCCGCGACAAGAAAAGGACGTTCCCTCTATGGTGAGGATCCTGTCTCCTTCCCGCTCTTTTGTCCGCTTCTTATTCTCCTTCCGTTCCAAAAAACATCTTCAAGTAGTACTTTAATTGTCTGATCAGAAAATATAAACAGAAATAACTAAGAATTTAACAATATTTTTTTAATTGTGGGCCATTATCTGTTAACCATTCTCCTCGCTCAGTGGAGCCACTAGCTGCCAGCTCGTTCTCCAGGCAGCCAGAGGTGACCCATCTTACAAACTATCTGCGAGGTGAATAGATGACCGGAGAAAGCCTTTTGCGAAATCTCTGCAAACCCCGGCTTCAGAAAACGGATTTTAACAAGCAGGCGTCGGGAGAATCTGTGTAGAACCGTTGAACTTCAGAAGATCTGCTGTCATTGATAGCGGATGAGACCTTAGGAGAAACAGAACAGGACCAGTAGTTGCTGGGTCTGTGGGTCCGTTGGTTCCTCTGCTGATGCATTTCCTATTTAGGCTGTAAAAAGGTTTAAAAATGATGTCTTAAATAAAAACCTTTTTGCCATTGTGTGTGAATAACGCAGTTGACTTGCTGTTTCTCAGCTTTGATGATCACGACCCGGCAGTGATCCACGAAAACGCAGCCCAGGCAGAGGCTCTGGTTCCCATCCGACTGGACATGGAGATCGACGGACAGAAACTAAGAGACGCCTTCACCTGGAACATGAACGGTAAGGACAACCTACAGCCAGGACCAGGTTCTGTTCTCCGGGTCTCCGCTGACCTTTCCTGCTTGTTCCTCAGAGAAGCTGATGACTCCGGAGATGTTTGCAGAGATCCTCTGTGACGACCTGGACCTGAACCCTCTGACCTTTGTCCCGGCCGTGGCCTCGGCCATCCGGCAGCAGATCGAGTCTTATCCCACCGACAGCATCCTGGAGGAGCAGGCGGACCAGAGAGTCATCATCAAGGTGGGTCCAGCGGCACCGGATCGGCGCTCGGTATCAGAACCCTGCGGCTCATGTTGTGTCTGTTTCCGACACCCAGCTGAACATCCATGTGGGGAACATCTCTCTGGTGGACCAGTTTGAGTGGGACATGTCTGAGAAGGAGAACTCGCCGGAGTCGTTCGCCCTGAAGCTGTGCTCTGAGCTGGGTCTGGGAGGAGAGTTCGTCACCACCATCGCTTACAGCATCCGAGGTCAGCTGAGCTGGCACCAGCGGACCTACGCGTTCAGGTGACTCTCCTTTCACGTCGGTTCTGCCTGGTAACTCGGATCGGGGTCTGACTGTCCTGTCCTCTTGTTGCAGTGAGAACCATCTCCCCACGATAGAGATAGCCATCAGAAACACAGGAGAGGCTGACCAGTGGTGCCCCCTGCTGGAGACCCTCACAGATGCAGAAATGGAGAAGAAGATTCGAGACCAAGACAGAAACACCAGGTCAGATAATCTTTTCTCCTCTATCGCTTCTCTGACTGACGAGCTTATGACGAGGAATTTCTGTTTCTCTTCTTCTCCCTGTGAACCAAAGCTTTAGTCTTTCAGTTGAAGAACAATCTCACAAGATTGTTTTACCTCTTCCCTGCATGTGCTGATGAAGTTTCTCTGTCACCTAGGTCACAGTCATTCTAAAAAAGTAAAAAAAACAATCCACTGGACTTTGTTTAAAAGTTTGAAGACATTTTGCTTCCCATCCAGGAAGCTATTTCAATTTAAAATGTCAGAAATAGCACTAGAGGGGACCAAAAACAATTAAATTTGCATGTTTTCTAAGTTCTTGTTCTACTCTATAAAGCCTTGAACTCAACGCTATTTCTGACATTTTGAATTGAAAAACCTTCCTGGATGGGAAGCGAAATGTCTTCAAACTTTAAAACAAAGTCCTGTGGATTATTTTTTTTTACTTTTTTGGAATCTTCCTTACATGTTTATGAAGGGAAATTTGTTTCAATATTATTAAAAGCAACAAACATGTTTTAAGAAAAGGAAATTTTAGGAAATTTATCAAAAGTGGAACTTTTAAAAACTTCTCAATCAAAATAAAAGGTTTTGAGAATAATTTACAAAATGCATGCAAAATTTCAGTTGGTATATTTAAAGTTTACATTTTTTAGGCATTCTTTTTGTGGGTGTAATTTTCCGATTGTATTTTTTTTTTTTCAGATTATCTTTTCATTTTTTCTGATTTTATTATTTTTAATTTGTGTTTGAAGACGGATTCTTAAGATTTCAGTCTTTTCAAATCATATTTCACTGATTTACGCTTTAACCTTCTGGATTGACCAATAGAAAAAGAGTCTTCTCTGCTTGGAGGTTAGCAGCAGCATGTATTGGACCAACGCCCAGAAGCATTTAAAAACCGTTAAAGGGGATTTATCCCCCCCAAAAATTTGAAAAAAATAAAATCAGAAAAAACTTTTTTAAAAATATAAGCAAGAAAAAGACTTCAAAAAATAAAATCTTGAAAAAAAAAAACTAGAATCTGAAAATATTTTTGAAAAAAAATTTATATTAAATCTAAAAAAAGTGAAATATCAGGAAAAAAAAGAAAAATATTTGAAAAATCTGCAATTTCTAAAAATTTTGGTTGAACTTTTGCATATACATAAATTACTCTTTAAGCCTTTTTTTTTTTAAATATGTTTTTATCAAACTTCCTTATTTAAAATATCGTCCTGCCTTTAATTACTTTGGAACAAACCTTAATTCATAGATATTAACCTGTTGCTGGTCTATTGAAGTTTGTGGTTGCACTGGGATCATGTCAACATCGGAGGGGTTGTTTTCTAATTTTCTGTCACAGAGACACAAACTGTTCACATCCATGAAAAATATTTCATCTGAGGAGCCATAATCTGAACCAGCCTGTTTCTTTGCAGGCGACTGAGACGACTGGCCAACACCGCCCCCTCCTTGTAGAACAGGACTGCTTCAGGTGAGGCAGACCTCTGTTTCTACCCTGGATCAACCCTACACTATGAGCAGAGACAGCCGGGACAAACCTCATCGACTGAAGTCTGCAGACGCATCCAGACGTTCCTCTGCAGTTCATCAGCCATGTAGCAGCTCAGTTAGTTTGTTCTGAACAATTTCTGTTGCAGACATACCTGCTTTCACTTTAAAAGAGGATTTTTTGGCCACCAAAATCAGCTCTAATGTTCCAGATCTTTTAAGTTTCTCTTCAGAATTCAGTCCTGAGTCTGGATCAGAAGGTCAGCAGGTAACTTAAGGTTCACCGTAAAGCTGCTCCTACTCCCGGATGTATTACCATGGCAACTGATGCTGGAAACTTGCTCAAAGTTTGAGCCTGTAGCACATTTAGATGAATTAATGTTGTGACCCGGCATGGAACATTTGTGTGGATATAAGCTAAACTTTTGTTTTAAAAAAGATTCCAGGATTCACTCTACTTCCTGCAGGTCAGCAAAAAGGAAAACAGGAAAAACTCTCAACATAAATCCTCCAAATATTCCTGCATATTGTGCTCCAAAGGCTGGACATGTCGGCAAGTAAATAATGTGGCCTAAGAGGCTGGGTTCGGCTCGGTTCTGATAGGAGTCCTTTTGTTTTCACAGTCCTGACAGGAACAGCAGATGGTCTCAGTATTATGGAAACTATGTTCATTTTGTCACTTCTTTTGTAAATTGTCTGACCTTTATAGTAACTGTTTTTATATGAAAATAATAAAAAAAAATCTCCTAAAAAGAGTAGACTAAGATTGAATTCATCTTTCTAATGAAAAACCGGGGTAGTTGTAACGGATCAGAGTTTACTCGAGTATTACTGATTCATTCTGAATGTCAGCTAAAGCAAATAAAACATTTTTATCATACTATGACTTGATGAAGAAAACCTTCCAAAGGATAAAAATTGACTAAAATAAAGAGATTAGTCCATAAAATCCAAACTGAAGCTTTCGTTAACAGACTGTGGCGGCGTTCAGTAATGGTTCCTTCTCATTGATCTGAACGCTCCAAGTGATTCATTATCTTCATCCGTGGGCCGCCCTGCCTGAGGTCAGTGAGTTTGCCCAAAAACTCAGTGAATTCACAGATCAACATGCTACTCTCATCTGTTCCCTCAGGAAGGGTGTCTCTGCTCAGGTTTCCATTTATTTTTGTTTCCAGCAGCAATGAGATGCTCAAAACAGAGCCAGTGCAATGTGCCAGTTCTTTTCCCTCTCTTTTTACTATCAATATATGAAGGTAGTAATTCCAGCTAAAAGCTTTATATAGATTATAAACCAACTTGCCAGTTTTCATAAAAGTAGCTTGCCTACTTTATAAAGGGGTAATTACTGCTAGCTTTATGTCTCTCTTTTAGAAGCATCCAAGCTGAAAGAACTGACTTTATCCGGCCACAAAGAAGGGACATTTATGATGAGCTGTTATTGTTTTATGTTTCAGTTGTAGCTATAGTTACGGAAGAGGATTAGGGCCACTGGAAAAAAAAAAAGTAAACTGATTTTTAAATTTTATTTCAGTTTAACATGGGAAAAAAAGTCAGAATTCTGAGATTAAAGTCAGAATTCTGAGATTAAAGTCAGAATTCTGACTTTTTTCTCAGAATTCTGAGATTCTGACAATAAAAAAAAGTCAGAATTCTGAGAAAAAAAGTCAGAATTCTGGGAAAAAAGTCAGAATTCTGACTTTAATCTCAGAATTCTGAGAAAAAAGTCAGAATTCAACATTAAAGTCAGAATTCTGACTTTTTTCCCATACTATACTGAAATAAAATTAAAAAAAAAATCAGTTAACTTTTCTTTTTTTTTTCCAGTGGCCCTAATCCTCTTCCGTATATAGTAGTACTTGTGTGTTTTGATAAATATACTAGGAGAAGAACCGTCTGCTATCCCGAAGAATCTCTGAGCCGAGTCAAATTATCCGGATCCCAGACTGGAGCTGAGATTCCCACCTTCAATTCACGGGCTGCTTGATGTAATATCTCGCGATAAACGGTGAGACTAGCAGAAGCCGGTTTGGCGCAGTCAGCAGCAGTAAGTTAGCGGTAAATAACCTAATTTTAATTTATAAAATACACAGAATTTGAACTAGTTTCTGATTATTTTCGTGTTTTTTTCTTTTCACTCCGCCAGCGGATTATCCGCTCTGTTTAAACTCCCTTCAGCGTCTCTGTCGGACACTGGATACACTGACAATTCGGATTATAATCCCACTAACGGACCGTTTTCATTGAATTCAATCCGTTCAGGAGGCGAACTTGGAACCGGAGCAGAACCGAACAGGTTATCCTCGGTGGTTCTGGTTAGGAAATTCGCCTCAGAAGAACGGTTGTAGTTCCAGTGTTAGAAGCTAATATTCGGTATTGTTTTGGGGAGCAGACGGAGGGACATGTGACGTGGTGTTAGTCCGTCCATCAGTTCGCATTTTTTCTTCCTCCTTTTGTTAGTTCGGTTCGGGTTTAACAGAACATTTATGATTCAGCAGCAGGGGACTCGTCTCCTCGCCGGTGTGTTCTGCCAGTGTCGGTCCGCGGAGACCCACGCTGGCGTGGACCCGGGTGGAGGGTGTGGGCCCCCTCCCTCTGTCCACCCGCAGTCCTCCTCCCAGGACTCTCGGTCCGGTTCGGAGATGGTGGACCATCCGTGTGACATGTGCGGAGGTCCGGAGCAGGAGCACCGCCTGAAGGTTCTGTTCCAGATCCTGGATGTGAACGGGGACGGAGGGATCTGCGTGAACGACCTGACCATCGGTCTGAAGAAGCTGGGAGTCCACCGAACCGAGCACGAGCTCATGGTAAGAGGACTGGTTCTGGTTCTGTTTCAGAGCAGAAACTCCTTTTTGTTTTAAACAGGCAGCATAGTGAGCGGCTCAGGTTACAGTAGACGTGCGGGTCGTGTTGGACCTGCTGAGCAAAAACATCCCAGAATTCCAGTGAAATAATAATTTAGTTCTCTTCGTGTTGTTTAAAATTTGCTTTTTAATTACACCCATATAGTTTCTGTGCGATTATTTTATTTTAAGTACTGAACTTTCACAAAGTTCCTCTTTCTAAGCCTGGATCATGTATTCAAATGTAATATCACCAAAATAAAGATGTTGTTACGTTTGGTGTTTGGCCACGCCCCCCAGATTATCAAGGTGTCTTATTAGTGTTGCACCGATTCCTTTTTTTGGCCCCGATACCTGGCTGTGCAGTATCAGCCGATACCGATACTATCTGTTTGAAATTGATGTGTGTGTGTGTGTATATATTAGGGCTGGGCGATAATTCAATAACGATATATATTGATCGATAGACGTGTGGCGCAATAGGAAAAAAGAGGGTCGATAAAAGTTCAATAAAAAAGAAACGCAGTTTTCCTTCCTTCTCATTGTAGCCTAGCATGTAGGTTTATGCTAGTAACTGCTTCCTCCCAACCAATCACAATCGCGGACCCAGGCATGCCGTCACCAAGCGCCGCCCTCTCAAACCACAACACAGAGCACATGAAGATGTCGCAGCAAGGAGAGGCGGAGGAAATTGTTCCAAAAAGGGTTTTTGTAGTTCGGCAGTCTGGCAGTATTTCGGTCATGGCAAGTCGGACCAAAAACAAACCACAGTCATCTGTAAAATGTGTCGGGAACCAGTGAAAACGAAGTCTGATAACACAACCAACTTTTTTTTTTATCATCTCAGCCGCTCACACCCGCAGGAGTACGAGCTGTGTAGGCCCCGGCGCGGTTCTCCTCCGAGGAATCTTAGGGAATTTCGGGAAAATATATATATATTTTCCCGAAATTCCCACGTAGTTCCCACGTAGTTCTAACAATTGAGATAAAAATGCTGAGGGGCCAGAAACTTCAAAGTAATAACTCAGGTTAAAGCAGGAAACGGGGGCGGCGGCGGCGGTGGGGGGGCATTTATTTATTTGTTATATTTATTTTGGTCACTTTAGTTTATTCTTTGTCAGTATTTAATAACATAACCCAGGTCTCTTAAGTTATTTTTTCTTTAAAACAATTCTGTTATGGTTAAAAGAGGAACAGGTTCTGTTAATGAAGTTGGCAAAAAGACCGATTAACCTTTTTTGTAGTAGTTGTCCATTGTAGTTGTTCCTCGGTTTTTAAAAATAGTGCGCCCTGGAACTGAATCGAGAAGGACGACCACACAGACGGCATACCAAGGACCAATCACAGCTGCTTTTTGTCTGCGCACTTCAGCTTGAAGTCTGCGCGGGTTTGCGACCTTCGGATGCGTAGTCAGGATTTTTTTAGGTGCGAGACAAAGCACAGCCAGATTTGACTGATGCAGAGGCTATGCATCAGGAGCACAAATTGGCCATATATATGAAGAACTGCGGGTCATTAAAAGTCATTAAATTATTATAGCGCCATTATTATTATATGAGATATAAATGGTTCCACATGCGTGGAACTGCTTCCGGTTGATCGTAAAGGCAGAGAAAAAGCTAGAGAATGGGAAATGCAAATTTCAACAAAAGGGGCTGGAAAACAAGGAATTCACGACATGGCTGCAGCCTGCCGACGGTAAAGAAGGATTTTGCCGTGTTTTATATATATATATATATATATATATATATATATATATTAGGGTGGAACGGTTCACAAAATCCACGGTTCGGTTCGATTCACGGTTTCTGGTCACGGTTTTCGGTTCGGTTCGATACATGTTGATTGTTACACCGAAATCCCATAAAAATTTATGGAATTAATGAAAAAATCCCCCCAAAAATAATGGATTCTAATTATTTTAAATGATCCGCGGAAACCCTGGATCATTTCCGTATGTTTTGCTGCTTTGAATTTAATCATCTGGCGATGCCCTCTACCATCTCCAAGGAACTCAGAGTGGAGCGGACGGGAGCCTCAGTGGAGGCTGTAGGCTTTGCTTTGAGCAGCCGGTCTGGAGCGCAGCGGGGCGGAGCGCTGACGGAGTATGAGGGATTTCGGGGTTAGCATGACATGTTGGTCATGTTGCTGTTAGCGTAAACAAAACATGTTGCACAATGCTCGCACACTGTTGCACTTTTATCCACAACTTTCTTTCCGCCGTCATCGTAGGTCACTCTAAATGCAAAGTGGTCCCATGCAGCAGACCTATAAAGTGCTGCTGGCGCGTCTTCCAACTCCTGTTCTTTCCCACTCGCCATACCCACACAATTCTCCACAACAACTGATTTTTTTCTGCTACACCCGGCTACGCTGCTTCGCTTCTTCTTCTTGTTTACTACTGGCGGTTGGCTTTGGTCGCAGTACCGCCACCTTCTGCTCTGGAGTGTAAACGCTTCGCCTATGAGAAAAAGGAGCAGCGCATGAACCGAACGCAACACACGCGAATCGAACCGAGACAGTCGAACCGAACGTTTCTGACGGTTTTCATAAATCGTCCCATCCCTTATATATATATATATATATATATATATATATATAGTGAGAGAGACATGGGTACTTGTTGATGGCATTCAAATTATTTCTAAGAGCATTAAAAGAACATTAAAAAGCATTAAATTAGATTTATCCATTCCTGTATAAACCCTGTACTGCTTGGATGTAAAATAATTGCCATCATGGCTTTGTGAAGCTGCTGCCTACCTTTGTGAAGTAGGAAAAAGACTAATATAAGGTGAATCCAGTCGAACTTTTTATTGCCTATCTGGAATTGGTGACTATAGTTGAATAAACTTTTGGCTCTCAAAATGGTATCAGTGCCCTATTTGTTGGTATTCGCCAATGCCAACATTTTAGTGCTGGATCGGGACCCTGCCCGATACTGGTATCTGTGCAACACTATTAAAAACCCAGGTTAGTTTTAGGGGGTCTTTCTGCTTCCCTCACTATTTCCACTGCAGAAACCATTTGGACTATTTGACCCAGAAAGTTCCTACGCCTGGAACCTCATTTCCAGGAACCTGTTATCTTCGGTGGCCCTCTGCTTGTTTGAGTTTCCACTGAAAGGTCAAAATCTTCACTAACTTCTTAGATTACATCAGCTTGTGGTGATCAATGAAGCAGCAGAGTCCATAATGCAAAGAAGAACCCTGGAAATTGGGCCAAAAAAAATCCCAAAACTTCTCAGAGAGTTTCAAGCAGTCATGGTTTAAAACCAGTTAAATTGGGAAATCATATTTAATCAAGGGCATGATCCATGCCCTTGGAAAAAAAGCGGATCGGTTTTTCAAGGGTAGTGTAAAAAGGTTGTAAGAAACCAGGTAGTCTGCGTGTGGGTTGCAGTGATCGCAGCTATGCGATCAGTTTTTTATTTTAATAAAGTGGACACTAACTGGGATAAAGCTCTTGGTTTTTACCGTAATCCATCAGTCAATGCTAGGTGACTGTGTTGTTAGAAGCACTTTTAAACAGGTTCATCTGGTTGCTCTCAGAGGAATGTTAAAACTCCACTCTATGCATTGAATCACAAAAGTCTTTCCTTTCTACTATGCTAATTAGTCGCATGTCTTATGCTATCATGCTAGAAATATTTTGTTTCACATCACGTTTCAAAGACAGCAGATATTATGCTTCTCCGTCATGCGGTACGGCTAAATAGGAGCTATTTAGGCGATAACTGAAGGAGTTCATCCAGTGTTTATATTTACTAACAGAACCACATAAAGTTCATCCTGCATCCTTGTTGCCATTAAAGGTAAAGTGGAGGATTTTCGCAAAGTTTTAAAAAGACTCATCCTCTCTACTTTAAAAAAATAATAGAAATGCGCATGCAGAACCATGTACCCGCTCCCGACACGTAATGCGTATTAAACGCATGTGAGAGCGCGCACAAGCCCATTTCTCCTCGTGCACGATGTCTCAAAGTTTCTGTTTGCATCGCTCATACAAGCTAACTTTCCAAAAGAAGATTTTCAGTTTTTCCACTATCAGGGTTCCTGCATGTCCTTAAAAAGTCTTAAAAGGCATTGAATTCTTCAAAATAAAACTAAGGCCTTAATTGGTATTAAAATGTCTTAAATCCGTCTTTCGTAGGTTTTATTTTTTAAAACATCATAAATAGGATTATTTTTATTACGATTTATTTTTGTAATCTAAATAAAACATTAAAATTGAAAAAATAAAATTTTTGTTTTTGAAAAAAAAAAAAAATAACGGCTCGCCATTATTGGTTCCGTCCCGATAGCGGAACCAATAAAGGCGTTGTTGCAGCCGGGACATTTGGGAGATGCACCATTAAGTTTTTGTCTGAAAAATATGAGCAAGTGTAAATGTAACCAAAATTGTCTCCAGCCAAGAGTTTTCTCCATGGCTAAAACCAGGGAACATACATGAGGCTCAGTGGATTTAGAGCAAGAAGTCATTCAAGCTCAGAACGATGGGAATTAAGGCAGTGGAGTCGCACATGCGAAGCACGAAACACAAAGCGTCAAAATGGAGTTACAGAGAAACAGTCGGTATTTCTCAGTTTAGTTCCACCCTTGTCTCTGCAACGCCTCCCCTTATCACCAAATCAAACATACTAAGAAAACCATACAAAGAAAAATAGCTGCAAAAAAGACTTAGCACTGGTTATGTTGGGGCTTTAAAACTGATTTGTTTTGTTCCCTGCTAAAACAAAGTTTGTGAATTCAGTTAAATAATTGTTCAAATATATCTGTCATTTGTGTGTCTTTAGCTTTCTTCCTGTATGGGAAGCTTTTCAAAATTTGAATATATTAAAATAAACCTTTGGGTTAAGTTGTCGCAAGCAGGTTTTTCTTGTGTTTGTTGTGAATTTGGTCTTAAATTTTTATTTCAAATGGCAATAAAAAGTCATGAATTTAATTTCCCTTATGCTGTAAGAA